TCCGGAAAACATAATGGAATGTTTAGCAGTCCAAACATTTGTTGATGGACTCCTTGACCACGAGATGCAGAAAACACTTCGCTTAGCCCGCCACAAAACATTGGTCGATGTCTTGTCCGCTGCTTTAGAGTATGAGGCAGCTACGCAAGCTTCTGGAGGATACAGTAAAGTGAGAACTGTTAAAGAGGAAAATGTAGAAGATAAACTCGACCAACTAGTTAACATAATGAAGAGCTTTACTGATAAAAAGATAAAGACAAAACCATCAGGTACTGGAATTGCGGTGAACTGGGACATGTACGCAGTTCGTGCAAACGCCCTAGGGTCCCAACAACTGAAGACAACATGCCGCAGGAAAACTAGAGCGGGTCGGCGTAGAGGGGGCAGCTTCGACCCGAAACCGTTCCAAAGACCCTCTCATACTGATAGCCTCTTTGAAATGTCTCGAAGATAGTGTATACGTAGACGGCGAAGTAAATGGTAAAAAATATACACTGTTGGTGGACACTGGAGCAACTAGGACCATTATACGACCAACAACCATAAAGAACGGTAAGAGACTTTTACCAACAAGATTGCGACTGCGGACTTCCACAGGTGAAAGTGCCAACATCCATGGGGAAATCCAGGTTCAATTGGGAATTGGTACAGAAAAGTTTACTCATACTGTTATTGTCGCTGATATCAAAGAAGATGTTATTCTTGGAATGGATGTAATTAACTTACATGGTTTCCAATTGGACTTTAAGAACAGAGTGATCAAACTTGGTGCCGAAGAGGTATTCCTACATCCATATGGGAACAGTACCGTGCCAGTTGCTGTACAGGAGGATACGGTGGTACCTGGCAGAAGTGAAACCGTTATAGTAGCACGGCTTCAAGAAACTATGGAAGAAGGAACACCTGTCATGATGGAACCTTGGAACCACGATGAAGAGGTTGGACGAGGTATTCTGATCGGAAAGGGGTTGGTCACGACTGCTAAAGAAATTCCAGTCCGTCTCATAAACGTTAATAATCACCCGATTACCATCAAGAAAGAGACCAGAATCGGAACTTGTGTACCAGTAACTTCCATAATTCGTCAGACAACAACTTCTGACAATTCCAACGACAAATTCGAGCAAATTATTGCAGTTGCTGGTCAAGCTCTGAATTAGAGAAAAAGAAAATAGAAGAATTTCTTCGACGATATCGTGACATTTTTGTACCAAAAGGAGGAAAAACAGGAAGAACTTCTGTTGTAAAACACAAAATTGACACTGGTGTCGCCAAGCCGATTCGTCAATCAGCTCGAAGGTTACCAAAGGCCAAGAGAGAGGATGCTGAAAGGATTGTTCAGGAAATGAAGGAAGACCGGGTGATAGAACCTTCTACCTTAGACTTGAAGTCTGGATACTGGCAGGTGGAAATGGACCCAGTAGACAAATAAAAGACAGCTTTTACCACGACATCATAGACTTGGGGAAGACATTTGATGAACATTTAAAAAACTTAGATGTTTTTAAAAGACTTCAAGCTGCCCAACTGATGCTAAACCCCAAGAAGTGCCAACTATTTCAAAATAAAGTTTATTACCTGGGTTATGTAATCAGCAAGGATGGCGTGGTTGTAGATAAGGAAAAAGTCGCTTCTATCAAAGAGTGGCCACAACCAAAGGATAAACACCAAATAAGAAGTTTTCTTGGGCTTTGTACGTACTACCGAAGATTCATAAATAAGTTTGTAGATATTGCTAAACCACTAACGCGACTCACAGAAGAAGCAAGAGAATTCTGCTGGGACGAAGACTGCCAAACTGCCTTCGAAACTTTAAAGAAGCATTTAACAACAGCGGCCAATATTAGGTTATTCACTACCAGAGGGAGAAATTATCCTGGATACTGATGCCAGTAATGTGGGAATTGGAGGAGTGCTTTCAGAGATTCAAGGGGGAAAAGAAAGAGTACTGCGTTATTTTAGTAAAGTGCTCTCGAAACCTGAGCGAAATTACTACGTCGCGAGAAGAGAACTTCTGGCAGTTGTGAAATGCATGGAACACTTTTACCAATACCTATATGGAAGGAAATTCTTAATCCGTACCGATCATGCCGCTCTTAAGTGGTTAATGTAGTTCAAAAACCCGGAGGGTCAAATCGCCAGATGGATTAAACGACTTCAAGAGTACGACTTTAAGATCGAACATAGAGCCGGGATAAGTCACAGAAATGCCGATTCTATTTCTAGAAACCGTGTCCACTGCAACAAAGCGGAATACAAAGAAAGTGGACTACTAAAAACAACTGTAGTCAACGATGAGTGGACCCCTGCTAAAATTAGAGAAGAACAATAGAACGATACCGTTTTAAAGAAGATGCGACAATGGAAAGAGAGTTCGGGAAAGGTTTTATTGGATGAACAGTTCCGATGATGATGATGTAAAGGACTGGTGTAAGAAATGTACCAGCTGTGCTATAGTAATGGACCTCAGCGAAAAAGGAAGGCTCCCATAAAGCAATACAATGTTGGTAGCCCATTTGAGAGGATCGCCTTAGATATTGCTGGACCATCCCCCATGACCGAGAATGGTAATAAATACATGATGGTGGTTATGGATTATTTCACGAAGTGGGTGGAAGTCTACGCCATTCCAAATCAAGAGGCCGCAACTGTTGCAGAAGACTTTATTTGTCGATTTGCAGTGCCCTTGGAGATCCACAGTGACCAAGGCAGAAATTTTGAAAGCCAACTCTTCCGTGGAATCTGGGACAGACTAGGCGTGAAGAAAACCAGAACCACAGCATTGTACCCACAATCTGATGGAATGGTAGAGCGAATGAATAAGACCATTACAAAATATCTGTCAAAAGTGGTTTCAAACTATCAGCGAGATTGGGATCAGTATCTTTCGCTCTTTACAATGGCTTATAGATCCGCTGTCAATGAATCAACAGGCCAAACACCAGCAAAGGTCCTGTTTGGGCGTGAGATGAGACTACCGTGCGACTTCGAGTTTGGATGCCGACCTGGAGAAGATGTAGCTGGTGAAGATTATGCGATCCAGTTACGAAAAAGAATGGACGATATGCATGAATTGGTCCGCTCGCATCTTTAAATCGCCAGTGACAGAATGAAGAAGCGATACGATACCCAAGCCACAGAAGGATGTTTCAAGGAAGGCGACACAGTCTGGCTCCATAACCCAAAAAGACAAAAGGGTTATTCTCCAAAGCTTCAAAGGTCTTAGGAAGGCCCGTACCTCATCAAGAAAAATCAATGATGTCATTTACCGTATAAGTAAGATCCCGAACGGTAAACCAAACGTAGTGCACCAAAACCGGCTGGCGCCATTTGACGGTGACCATGAAGAGGAAGAAGAAGTAAACCAACTTCAAGAAACACCTGACCTTGTCTTTGAAGAATTTATGGGTGCATATGGAGGTACCGGAAAAGCAAGATATGATGTTACAACCGAACAACAACAAGACCTGCTTACGGTTCCTAAAGATTACTCGCTGGTCCATAGCACTTCCGCCAACATCTACGACACTCAAGCTCTTACATCTGTATTTCGGAAGAAGTTTGGTCGATTGCCAGAACTTCAAGATCGGTTACCAGCTCCTGGAAAACTTCAAGATGGATCGCGTTATCTTTTCTATTTAGTAACAAAGAACACCTTCCGAGATCGATCCACCTATCAGGATGTATGGGAAGCATTACTCAGTCTGAGGGAGTATGTACTGGAGTGCAATGTACAGAAACTATCTATGCCAAAAAAAGAGAACAACCAGCTGAATTGGAGGATCATTAGAAACATGGTGGAAGTAATTTTCCAAAATACATAGGTTGAAATACTGGTCTGCAGCCATTCTCCCAGTATTCAGGTTATAACGAACACTGTCCCTTGTTACTTCCATGCAACTGGAAATTGTAAAAGAGGATCCAGTTACAAATATAACCATTCAGTTTTAGTTTCAGGAGGAACTATTCATGAAATTCCTAATCCGACCCTGTGTCTAAAGCAAGCGACCTTCACCTTGGCATCCGACTCATGCTCGAGACGACGGAATATTCTAGGTATGCGACTGATGCTCGAGAAACGCGTAGAACGGGCGAAGTGTGATGTTGAGTCAGAGATGGAATTTTCGGGAGCGTCTGGAGACTTCTCGTAGCAGAGTTGGACTTGGTATAAATAGCCCGACTCATCGTCGGGCACTTTAGCTCAGTAGAAAGTGTTAGACAGAAAAGTTTAAGTGCAATAAATAAATTAGAATTGTTAGTTAGTGTCTAAGTATTATATAAATTAATTAGTACGTCTAAAATAAATTATAAATAGTGTGTTTTAAATAAATAAATAAATAAACTATAAATAAATTAGACTATCGTCACAATATATTGGAGGTTCCTATCAAAATTTGGGAAAGTGTTTACATATAATTGCAAAAGTTAATAATTAGTTTTATCTACCATATTTGAATCTAAATTTACAGAAGAATCTGGCCTAAGAGTACTATTAAAAATAATCACTAATCACCATTTCGGACATGACATAAAATATAATAAATTCTTTCAATGTTTTATTTAATCCCAAATGTGAAGATTAAAAATCAATAATATTGTCAACTCAAAAATAAAATGTTTAAAATGTAAATAGAACAAGCTGGATTTGGAAATGTGGTCCTCGTCCAGGATCATAATAAACTAGCTGGATTTGGCGATGTAGTCCTGGTCCAGGATCTCCAAATTTTCGGCAATGTTGGTTGATTCATCAATTTTCGCGATTTCAGTTTATCACACCGCTAACTGCTCCACTTTTTGGCTCGTTTTTTTTAATAAAAAGAGTTCCAAAAAGCGGACCTTTATTTTATGATCCTAACAGTATAAATGTAAAATTTAAAAGTTGTAAAATGCCGACAACGTACCTGTTTTGTTGTCGCTAGATCTAGGTGGGGCCATATCTTGAAATTGCGGCGTCTCTAGTTGTCCTCGTTACGATACTGTTCTCATAACTTACTTCCCAATATCACTGTTTTAATAATGTGACTGCTGTGTGAAAATGTTTGATACTTTAAAATGATACGAAATTAAAACAGTAATAAATATGAACACATTTTATTAGTAATTTTTTAACAATTCTTGTATTTCATGAATACTCTTTCCCTTTATCTCCGGCAAGAAAACATAAACAAGTAGGGTAGTTCCAAGACAAGATATACCGAATGTCCACATAACCCAATATAGTCCAACTAAATCAGCGAATAGTGGAAAAAGAAACATGTAACCTGCAAAAATCACGCAACTAATTGAACTTATAATTGAAGTAGCAGATGATCGAATATCAGTTGGAAAGAGCTCACCCATCACAGCAGAAGGTAAAGGACCCAATCCCAAGGCAAAGAAGAAAAAATAAAAAAGTAAGGATACTAATGGTAACCATTGAATATATATTACCAGAGGTGAATTAATGTGTTTTAAATAAAAGAAAATTCCTAAGAATGATATTGCTATTCCACTTCCTGCAGACGATAATAGTAACATTGGCCTTCTTCCAGTTTTTTCGACCAATAGTGATGTAATTGTGGAAACGCACACTTTAAATATACCAGCTATAATTGCAAAATGTTCACCGGAAAGACTAGTTCCAGCTTCATCGAAAATTGGAGCAATAATAAGCATTATAATAGGAACACCTGAAAAACACTGCCCAAGTATTGGAAAAATAGCCAAAAACATTCCAATTCTTCCTTCTTTCGTTTGAAAAACAGTGAAGAAATTGCTTTGAGTATCGTCATTACCACTATGTAAGCTTTGACTTATTTTATAATAGTCAATATCAATTTCCGCATTCGTTTTATTACTCCTTAATTTTTTTAATATTTTAATACATTCTTCTTTTCTTCCCTTTGAAAGCAAAAACATTGGACTTTCTGGAGCAAAAACGAACAGTAAAAAGAAAATGAATGGCAGATTTACCAGGAGTGTAAAATATTTGAAACTGAACAGAGGTCCAAGAATATAAGTATAAAGTTCACCTATTGGAAGGAAAAACGACATTATGCAACCGTATTTTGCTCTATTATGGTCTTCGCAAATTTCTGTTATGTATATTTGTAGAATTATTAATTGTCCAGATATAAAAATACCAAAAACTGATGAACAAATTATCATTGCGGGTATATTCGTACTAAACGCTAAACCAATTTGACTTAGAAAAGATCCAAGTGTCATATATAACATACTCTTCTTTCGTCCCAATACATCTGACGTAAGTGGTAATAGAGATCCCATTACAGATGTTAGGGCTGGTATAGACACTAACATAGATATTTCTAGTGTGGTTATTGGTTTTCCTAATGGATTAACTTCAGTGTCGTTTGACAATAATTTAATTAAAGCCGGAGCCGTCCATGCCCAGGTTGATCCTGTTACTAACATTAAAGTTAAACCTGAAATAAACAGAAATTAAAGTAAGGATGAAAAGTTGAGTTTTTCGGACTACTACAAACTACAAGAAGTTTTGGTATTCCGAAAAATATTTTTCTTCTGTGGTTACAATATTTTTTTATTCGAATGTAATAAACGAAATTTATAAAAAAATTAACAGAAAAGCAATAAATTTCTATTTTTTTAACTTATATCATTGGTTTCGCATAGAATGTGACTTGAGAATAATAAAATTATAGTGATCTTTAACTTTAATCGAATGAAATAAAAACCTGCATAAAAACTATGGTAGAATACCTTCAAACAAAAGCAGTTATTTTGAAATAAAAAGTACAACTTTACACCTGTTTTTCTGGAAAACTATTGAAATTTGAACCTATGTTATCAGAGCCGGTTTTACATGGGCGATATTTGGTGCTGTAGAACCAAGCGGCAAATCGTAAATAGGGAAATATAGGGCGGTGTGCAGAAAGAATTAAGAGCAATCCAGTCCCTTCTGACGTCACACCGCACGGATCTCACGACCTCCCCTTAAAGTATTTGGAACCTTGTTCGCTACATAAATTTGGCAATGTTGTGTGTCGTGCGCTGAAGAATAATCATATTGGATAGGGTCCGATTACATTTACATGAACACAGGTATGTCATCAATTGGCAAAGTAATTCGTTGGCTATCGCCGCCTACTGGCGGTTTAGTGGCTTGTTAATATTATAGGAATGTAGGAATACTGTTTTTAAACCAAACAACTCAAATATTTGTTATTTATTGATAGTTATAGATGATATATAGGGTGTCCTGAAATTAGACGGTCATATTTTAACAGCGTAATCTACATCCTAAAATAGAATTAAAAGTACATATAAACATATCCGAAAACGTTTCGTTTTCGAGATACAGGGTGTTACAAGTGAAGTCCTGATGGCACATTTTGGTAAATATTTTCTAAAATTTCTCTAGCAACCGGTTTTCCAAAGTTAAAAAAAAAATAAAATTTCTGATTCCACAGGCCTACTAATTATTTTTTACACTTTCGAATAAGATAACATCAACTTATGCCGCGATTGATAGAATCCACATCGGATGCATTTTTTACATCTCGAGCGTTTTTCTATCTACATCGGACACATCTGTCCCATTACATTTACTAAATCACGTGATCAAAGATTTACTACATCTCAGATGCATCCGATGTGGATTCTCAAACGCAGCATTATCATGCAGTTTTCAAATCTTGAAAAAGGTGCGTCTTAGCTAGATACAACGAAAGTAGCTTTATTATAAAGAAAATATTGATTTTCCAAATTTCGTAGTCAAAAATGTTAAAAACTGTCAACAAAAAAAACTTAGGACAATTTAACCCTAAGCCCCTCCTCAAATTTACCCACCTATGAAAATGATCAAAAACTGGCGTTTAATCCATTAAATAGAGCGCAACAAGTTTAGCATTTGTACCAAATTTCACTTAGTTATCTTTAAAAGTTTAGAAAATATTTACAAAAATGTGTCATCAGGACTTCACTTTTAACACCCTGTATCTCGGAAACAAAACGTTTTCGGACCTATGTTTATATAAACTTTTACTCCTATTTTAGGATGTAGATTACGCTGTTAAAACATGACCGTCTAATTTTGGGACACTCTGTACATTACGAATATATTGTAAAGTTATAAATATAATAATTTTGGATTTTTTAATGTTTTTTTTACATGATATACAAATTCAATAGCCTCAGATGTATAAATTACCAATATGTAGAGAAGACGGTTACAAGTAGCACCAAGGCGCAAAAGTTGCTTAAACCGGCACTGTTAAGGAATTCTCTTCAGCTACTTCTAGAAGACTTTCGCAAACCTTATTTAAATAAAGTTTAAGGGGCTTTATTGCATCAATTCAGCTGGACCATCTTGTCTCACTTAGAGGCTTTAAACTTAACGCGGTGACATTTTTTCTCATAATATCCCACCTTTTTGTGGATGACGAAAAAAAATTGTATAACTCTTGCACAAGATTAAAAAAGTTTATTGTAGCATCTGACACCTTAGAAGCGTTCAAAGTATGAGCCGCACAAGGTACAAAAAGGGCTCTTGGATTCACATCAAGAATGCTTTTTGAAGCCCAACATGCTTTCCCTTCATATTTGTCCCATTATCATAACTTATCCCCTTTTTTTTAAGCTATTGCATAGCTTTTATCGCGGGTTTTGAGCGCAGCGACCGAATCAAGAAATTCCGTAACGAAAAAAAACCTAACATCCCCACTCCGACCGGCACAGCGGTGCGACGTTAAACAATATTAACTTCTCATTTATTTAATAAAAGAAAATCAATAAATCGAAAAAGAAATTCCGTAACGAAAATAAACCTAACACCCCCACTCTGACCGGCACATCGGTGCGGCGTTGAAAGCCATGCATCGTCTAACGTCGATTCAGTTCGGCAGACTTCGGCAAGGTGTTTGTGTGCGTGCGACTAGACGTATGCGTGTAGACTAGCTGCTAACTGCTCATAACTGATTCTATCTCTTTTAGACACAATTTTGGAAAAATTGAATTTGAAAATGAATTGATCCACAAGAATCTACAACAAAATATGGGACCACCATAGACGCGGTATTTTACAGATATTTAGAGGATGTCAAGTCTCAAACTTATGTTTCTTATTTCAGTTACTATAAACCTATAGTTTCAATGATAAAAATTCCTGAATAACATATGTATTGTAAGATAATAAAAATATTTTAAACAATATTAACTCCTCATTTATTCAATAAAAGAAAAAAATTTGTTTCCTTATCGGTCACCACACTCGAAAAGTGTAACTTGAATTAATATCAAAGAAAAAAAAAATACTGCATAAATAAAATAAATAAAAAATTATAATTGCATAAGTTGATAAAAAATGCTATGCAATAGCTTTACCGCGACAGTTCCCGAGTGCCACACGTATTTTTATATCTAAATATAATTTTTTCAAAATTTCTGTCACAAATGTGTATATCCCTTCCCCTGTAGAGTCCAGTATTGGATTAAACGCAATAAAACTCCTTAACTTCAACCTTTTTTGAAGTGGTGTTAAGGACAACATACCTCAGAACAAAACTAATTTGCTCAGTATGACTAGTGTCTGGTGTGCAATATAATATTATTGAAAAATATTTTGAACTGTGAACCATTTCTAAACTATTATTTTTTACTTTAGACGACAATAATTCAATTATTTCATTCTGTATTTGCACGCCTAAATAATGAGTCATTTTAACAATTTTTTTTTGTGAGTTACACACTCGGCTAACGTGCTGTCTCGTCACTGAATCAAAAGAGGCAATCATCTCAACAGCTTTTAGAAAATTTTCATTATTATGTTCGAAAAGTAATTTAGAAGAACCTTGAAATTCCAAGCATTGTGTAGATATAGTACCCAGACAACACACCAAATCTCAGAGATATCCACAGAATATCTTTTGTAGATATCCAATATATCCACAGGATATCAGAAATATTCCGTGGATCTAATATGGATATCCAAATGTCCGTCTATATCCAGAATATAGAAGATATCCTATTGGATATTTAGGAACATATCTAATGGGTATCTTCCAGAAAATACAAGAAATCCCAGAGATATCCACAGAATATATTTTGTGGATATTCAGTATGGATATCCAACCAAATGTCCGTCTATATCTCAGGATATAGAAGATATTCGGATATTCACCAACATATTTTATGGGTATCTTTAGTAGAGGTTCTTCATAAGTAACCAATGATTATTGAATAACGTCGAAAGAAAATAGAAGAGATAAAAAATATTTTTCTACAAGCGTGCGAGAAGATGATCTTCTCGCACTCTTTCGAGTGCGAGAAGTTTATCTTCTCGCACGCAGAGAAATATAAATTGAAAAAAAGCAAGGTATACTTACCGCCGAGGCCCGGGTTTGAACCTAAGATCTTTGCGTTATGAGCCCGAAACCCTAACCACTACACCAATTCAGCACATAACATCGGTTTAATATAATATGTATACTTAAACTGTATGTTGTACCTAATGTCATTATACAGGTTAATTCTCTATTTTAGAAATAAATGCGCTTGTAGAAAAAATGTTGATCGTAACACGTGCTAGAAGCAATACTATGCCTTTGATTTTGCCCACTAAGGAGAAAGTCATTCTTATTACGACTCTTCAGCAATAAATTAAAATTCTCGACTCGTCTCTAATGGAGTGATTAGGACACAAATTTCGATCGAACTCAATTACGGCAGGTCGAGCATGTGTAGATGCGATAGTGGTATCGCCATCTATACTTAGTAAGCAGAATCAAATAACATCTAGTGGATATCCACGATGGTTTGCGTTCGCGCCTAGACTTTGACATATTTAGTGGATGTTCATGGGATATTGAATACTCCTTAAAAAAATTAATTTTAAATATCTGAACGGTACTATTAGCCACAATGGCGAGTACAATGGCGTAATTTTTTAATAATTTGCTATATAATTACTATTATTTATGGACATTTGCATGTCTATAAATTACATTTCATGGATATAAAATAGATATCTACCATGGACTGGACATTCAGTGGATATTGGGATGTTCAGTAGATATCCAAAGGATTTGGTGTGCTGTCTGGGATATATTAGTGTGGAAGGTGACATTTTTCACACGAGTGGGAAATATTGTCGCACGATGCTCATTGCGACGAGTGTGGAAAATCACTTTTCACACAAGTGATGTACAATATTTTTCCTACGACCACAAAATAATTTCATCAAAAAATGTAAAACCAGGTTATTATTATAATAAATAAAATGTATTTAAAAAATAATTAACAATATTCGTATTTATTCAATTTTCATATTTTCTAAACAAAAACAAAAACTAAAAAACAAAAAATAAAAGAAACAAAAAATAAAAAAAAACAAAAAAAAAATTTTGTCCCCGCAAGGATTTGAATGCGGTCGCTCGCCAGGTCTCAAATGCCAAAGTTAAATACTCTACCACCTGAACTAATAGACCTTGCGTCAATTGAATGATCTATAATCGGTTATGTATTTAACCAGAATAAAAAGCAAATATAACTTAGTTATTTTAAAATTATTTTAATAATAAATGTTAAAGATAAATATCTAGGATCTAATTTACAATTTCAATAATTTAACAATCATATCGATTTTAGTATTAATATGGACATTACATAGATCAAAATAGAAATGATGCGTTGGACATTTTGTGACAGCTGAGGCGAAAAGTATCTTATTCGCACACGGGTGGAAAGTAAATTCTTATTCACACGCGTGTGATATATGGCACTTTCCATAGGACTATATAGTGTGATATGTGTCACTTTCCTAAGTGGTCGTAGGAAAAATACTTAACAATCGCAATAATTCTTTCCAACACGTCGCTCTAATATTTTTTCCGTTTCTAAAATTCGAAGGTGATGAGCATTAACAGTCGTAGATGTCTCCAATATTTTTTTTAAATTTACCCAAGTGTTGAGTAAAATTGACGTTTCGTGTCTCTTCATTAGCAAAGACAAGTGTTGCCAATCAGATAATCCATGTGTATCACAAAAAGTAAGAGTTTTACAAAACAACTTACAACAAAAACAAAATACAGAATCTTTAGAAATAGAGTAAATAAGCCAAGTCCTTTCGACTTTTTCTCCATTTGCTAGACTTCTTACAAAGTATTTCTCTTATCTTTTTTTTAGCAAAGCCAAAACTGATATCTATCAAGGGCGGACCACGTTTAACCAATATTCTAGCTATCTCATTGGTGATTCTTTCGGGCCACAAACCGGGGTTGGACGGAATTATATCGTCACTAGCCTCATTAAAGCCTTCATCGAAAGTGGCACTTGCAGCAGGTATTTCGGTAGCTGACATTATAGAACTTCTTACACAAGCTGAATTACCTGAAGTGGATTGTTCAAGTGCTGTAGACGCGGATAGTGTCATCGCTTCATCGGGCTCGCATCAGTAGAAGCTGTTTTGCTGCTACAACCGTCGCCACTTGTTGCAGGACCTGATGTTACCGTGGTCGTCTCTGTTGAAATTTCAGATGGTCCACTCACAGTTACTGATATAACGGATTTAGAATCTTGAGTTTCGGTCGCATCGATAGTCTCCGTGGAATCTTGATTGTTTTGCAAGAAGTGCTTTAAAGATCCAGCCATTTTTTCCCTTTCTTGTAGTCTGAGTTTCTTTTGTTCGCGAAACTTCGCACCTGAAGGTCTCTTTCTTTTATCCTGAAAAAACAAATAAATAATTACTACTCATGGGAATTAGGAATTAACTTCTAAAGTAAGCACAATAATAATCACCAAGTTTGCATATTTGAGTAAAAAGCAATTTGTTCGATTCCTTTTAGCCTAAACCTTTTCAAAAATAAAGGCAGAAAAAATATTAAACTAATTTGATCTTATAGCCCTTAAAAAACCCTACAAAATGGTTTTTTAAAAAGATCGGTAGCATAAAAACTAAGCGAGTTATGGATAAAAAACCAATTACTTTTTTAAATTCGTACATGACATTTCAATTAATAAAAAGATATTTGGGTAAAAAAAATAATTATAACCAGTATCCTATAATGGGTTAACGTTGATAGTATAAAGTAGGACACACTTACCATTTTATAAAAAATCAAACCGTTGAAATTGCAGTCAGCAGGTATTCAGCACTTAAACAAAATATTATACAACACAACACCGACGAAATAAAAATAACTTTAAATGTAAAAATTAATAGGATTACTTGTTTTTATGCACTTGTTGTACGGTCCAGTGAACTAAACGGTTTAAAAACGCCTCTAGCGATGCATCGCTTTTATAGCGCTCCAAGCATTATTCATGTCTGAACAGGAAAAATCAAGAAACTACCGCCTGACATTTTCTCGCAACATAGGAATCGGCAGTAACTGGATGATATATACTAATAAAATTTCGTGTGTGTATGTATATATACCTAATCCTATTTAATTTCTTAACTTTTATGTTAAAATTAATTTTTGTTTCTTGTTTTTTTTTTTGAAAATTTTTTTTAAATTTTTTTTTTGGACCCCCGGTTTTGGCGCCCCTAAAGGATGGCGCCCCTAAAGGATGACGCCCGTGTGAATTGCACACATTGCACATATGGTAGCGTTGGCCATGTCTATAACTATTCCCTTGCTGTTATAATGACAGAGGGGGACATAATAGATCTTTTAGGTCGCATTGTATGTAACATGAAATCATACAGTTGATAAATCATCGTATCATTATAATAAAAAAAAAAAAAATGAAAAAACTAAGGCTAAGAATTTTATATAGTTAGATACCTTTTAATTAAACAAATGGTATAACTATTTGTAACTATATCAAGAATCACAAAGGTGCTAGTAACAAAAAGCTCTAGAGAGCAGCAGCTAAAACGTCAACTTTCATCACATATTTTAAAGCTTAAAAGGATCTTATCAACCAGCCTCCGTTATGTAGTGTGTCAACTCTTTCAGTAATTTGCTTTCGTTTTGTTAGGAAACTGATATTTTTGAATTTGGAAAGTTATTTAAAATTAAAAAAAAAATATCTGTTAAAGGTAGTTTAAAGATATTTTTATTTTCAGAATGTTTCTAAAGCTACCCTTTTATATGAAAAATCATAGTTACGTACTTGCCATTACTGAAAAAAATAAGTACAGTGTATCAGGCCGTTTGATTTCTTGTAGAGGTTTAAGTTCGCCAACATTTTTGTTATCCACTGGAACATATTTAATTTCATTAAGTGGTGAAGTTTCGTTATTTTCAATAGACTTTTGAACCATCTTGATCTAACAATACACTTATTACTACATTAAAACTAAAGATTAAAATCTTCAAATTTCTTAATAACAATTAAACTCATAAACAGCTTTCAAGTAGCTTAATATATAAACCCAAATCAAATAAGAATGTATTACATTAATTCTATATTGTATTTATTTTTTTTGCATACTATTTATGTATAAATAAAACGATTACTTCTGTTTAAAATTTTAACCTTAAAATGTTTATTTTGATCTATAAAACCCGTGTAGTAAAATTACGCATGCAGTGTGTATTTTTTTCTGTGGTTTACTATTATAAGTAAAAATAAAAATCTGATGTGTCCAACACATGACTTTCCTATCTAGTTATTATAGGCTTTTTCCGTTTTTTTTGTACAACCTATTGTAGCACCTCTATAAATATTTATAGAATAAACTAAATACATACATTTTTCTACAGATATTCATTGAAAACGAAAATACTGAAAAATTTAAATTTAGCACTTTTCTCCAATTTCTCCATTACCCCACATGGCACACGGACGTCTTATGGACGTCTAAAAGACGTTCTTCAGGGACATAAAGGACGTCCGAGGGTCGTCCTATTTTGGTACCGGGACGTCAATCGGACGTCCTAATGTCCCGTTTCCGTCCATCTTAGGGACGTCCCAAAAGGACATCATAAGGACCTTTCCGGGACGTCCTAGGGACGTAAATCAGACGTCCTAGGGACGTAAATCAGACGTCCTAGGGACGATATTTGACCATAATCCATAAAGGGTAATAATAACAAAAATTTTAACAATAAAAGAGCTTTATTTAACAACTTTCATCCTAAAAAACTGGCTAGAGTTAAACGTTTTCAGTTTACAAAGAAAAAAACAGGAATTCATTAAATTTAACACACAGCGCTGGCAAGATGAATCCTTGGGTCCTACTTATAGCTTGTGTCGACATAATTGAGTATTATAATTTTGTCCAAATTAGTTTTGTTCCATCTTTCCGCCCATTAAGGTGTTTTCTTTCCGCCAGCGGCTACCGCCAATACACATCACTTATTCTCACCTCAACAAAAAATACTCACTTCACTTTATAACCACTTTACCACCAACATCAAAAAAATAACAAATAACACTATATAACCTTCTTTTTTCTTCGTTAATCTAACTCACTTATATAAGTTAATTATTGAATGCCGAAAATTGTAGCTGTTGTTGTTCATTTGAAAATAAATGATAGGTTAGGTTTTCTGTCCTCAAACTCTTGCAAAAGCAAAACGTTGAATTTCAAGTTATCGATTCAAAGACCAACGATGCTAGTACCTAGAAAAGTCCCATAGACGTCCCATTAACGTCCCGGACTCGGACCGAAAACTAAACGCTTTGTCGAAACGGGACCAAAATAGGACGTCCAGAGGACGTCCTTCTAAGGACGTCCTAGTGTTCACTGTAATCGGAAGTCCAGTGGACGTCCTATTTAGGTCCGGGACCAACCGGACCAAAAAGGGACCTATCTGGGACGGTCCATTTTCGAAAAATCATGAAATTATAGAGATCGATATCGCAAACAACTTTTAGTTTAACAATTTTCTTAAAAATCAGAATTTTGCACATTTTGTCAAATTTCTCGAATACGGACCATTTCAGGAAAATTTGACATAAAACAAAAATTATAGATAATAATATTAAAAGTAACTTTTATTTGAATAATTTTCTTCTCCAAACATAAATAACAGATATACTCCATAAAATATTAAAACGGCCTCCCATGAAGTACCCCCCCCCCCCACAGATGTTCCGACTTTGTCCAAAATCTAGTCATTTCACGCCAGGCCGAAATAAAACTTAGGTATAAAATTTAATGTTTTTTCCTTTATCCGTTTTTGAGTTTTCTTCAAAATTCGAAATTTACACATTGTAATTATATTACAAACAACTTTAAAATATTTTTTTTACATTTTGTCAAATTTCTCGAATACGGACCATTTTAGGAAAATTTTCTATATAACAAAAATTATAGATAATAATATTGTAAGTAACTTTTATTTAAAAAAATTTCTTCTCCAAACGTAAATAACGGATATATTCCATAAAATATAAAAATGACCACCAATAAAGTATCCCCCAAATGTTCCGACTCTGCCCAAAATCTAATCAGTTCATCGCAGGCTGGAATAAAGCTTAAGTATAAAATTTGGTGTTTTTCTTTGTATCGGTTCATGAGTTATGGTGGATACCTTTGAATATAAATAGTCAGGAAGGAGGAATCCTAAACGACCTTGGAATTGCGATGGTATCAATGAAGTGGAGAGGGGTAGAATGATAACTGTCAATGAAAAAGTCTGGACACTATGCACAATTTCGTTTTGCACATTTTGTAAACAAAATTCAGGGACGGTTTAACAACATTTTGTGCAACAATTATAAAGTAGTGCATCGAAAAATAATTAACAAGTATAATTTAATACTAAATCGGAATAAAAGCATAAAAAAATCATAAATATAAGCAAGATAACAAAGAATTGACGCCAAAAAAGCTTACAACAGCCAAAACACAAACAAAAAACAGAGCTGAACATGAACATAATCGCTGAATAAAGTCGATCCTGGAATTTGTTTACAGTGATTTAGGGCAACCTCTCCTTGTCATTTACGTGTGTAAGAGTGGAAGGCTGAATCACGCATAATTTCTACACTCGTGATGGATGCGCAGACGGTACCTTATCGTTCTACCCTCTCTACTTCTTTGGATGGTATCGAATTTTGACAGTGAACTAGACGAATATGGCGAGAAGTGTTTCCGGTCTACCAGTGACGTACTGTCATAAGGGTTCGTAAAAAAGAGAATAATAAATTCTTATTTGCATATTATCTAAATTTACGGATTTCTCTCATTTTAACGAATAGCTATTTTCTTGCGAGAAGTTTGCATTTTTTTTAATTAATCATCATTATGTGAATTAATTTTACTTTAAAATTGCATGTTGGGTGGGATAAATATAGGAAAAAAAATTCGGTATAAATTATAGAGGGATTTCATTTGAAAAATCAAAGCAATAATGTATTAATAAAAGAAATTTTGACTTTTTTTACGTCTTTGTTATGAGAATATTTTTATTAATTTAAATTTTACAAATTGTATAAATTTTACAAAAACAGTATGTCGTGTTTATTAAGGTTTGAAAATTAAATATGTTTTGTAGATGCGTTAAAAAATAGTACGTTTGTTCAACAAGAGTGGATATGATGGCCATATCACACGAAGGCGAAATTTGAGCACAACGCCGTAGGCATGTATTTGTAATTATATTATGCAAGCCTGTGTACCTAAAAAAACTTCCTAATATCGAAGAGAAGATCTGATCATTTTATTACATATTATTATTAGTAGTAATATTTTTTTGCAGGACTTAAATTTTGCATAAGTTGGTATAACACCTTTGCATAAAAGGATCCTATAAAGTAATAACGATTCTGTGAGTGCAAAGCCCATTACCACAATCTACATATCCATAATATTTATCAACTACAAATTCTGAATGCTGTCTAATCGACATTTCATCAAATACTAAGGAACAAACCAAGTTTTTGTTTGAATTGGCAACTTTTAATTTTCAAAATCCAATGTTTCAGATGTAAAACCTGGCTTGGCATCTACTGAACAGTACCACTTTGACAAAGTTTTTGGATGTGGTAAACTATTGTAAAAACATAATTATAAGCTTTTGGAGAAAAGAAGTGTGATGTAACTGCAAAAGTTTTAACTGAATGTTCATATATTTTTTTGAGATTTTTTAAATAGGCGTTCAACTATTTCCTTATTTTTTCCAAAATGTTCTAACATGAAATTTTCATGTTGGTCTAATAATCTTTTTGTTTTAACTCACAATGCATACATTGCAAAGACATAAGATGCTTTTTTTGCTGCGATGTTACCTTTTGTAGTTTTCTTATTGCATTAGTTTCCAAAATATTTTCCTCCTGCAGTTCAGTAATTTTCCTCTTTAGAATTTTTTTTTGAGGAGTATCCTCATCTGAACTCTTCAGAGTTGAGGAAATACCTGGAACAGAAGAGGAATACTGAAGTGGCCTAGAAGGTCCTGGAACGGCCAATAAATCTATTTCCTGAAGAACCTTTCTTTAAAATTGCCTAAAAGATTTGTTTAAATAGAATATGTATATATACCCTATAAACCATGAGACTACGCCTATGAGCACAGTTGATCGCATACATACTTACCATGTTTGTTTACAAATTTAAAACATTAAAAAATCTTTGTTGTGGTGGATAATTGAAAGAAAAAAATACTTGCTTATGAAATGTAGTCCCTTCCTTTCTACTTTTAGCTGTGCAGCTGTATCCACAAGAGCAACAACTGACCATATTGTAATGTTTGTCTTTTAACGCGGAAAATTTAAAATTAACACTAATACTGACTAAATACTAAAACACTAAGCACTTTTTAAAAAGGTCTACAAAACGTACGTTCGATAAATTTTAAATTAACACATAAAATATCCAAATTATTAACACACACACACACACACAAACACACCAGGCTAGATTCCCACAGGAAAGTTCTCGACACCAAAGAGTTGACACTCACGTAAATTTCGGAAAATCGGACCCGATGCAGTGGTTTTTCGCGAAACTACTGTGTAGATCCTACTACGACTGCGCCAGTTAAATTTATTTAACTCGAAAATAATTTTATAAAAAACAAAAATTTACTTTTTGAAAATTTAAGACTTTATTTATTTGACGTTTACTCTACAACAATTCCAAACTAGAATGAATTTTTTCTACACCCGTATTATAATAATGCACTTATATGCCCATAATCCGTTTCATAATGATACCCATTATGATACAGATTTTTCATTACGATCTTAGATTATACAAACCTTAGATGGAACATAAGACACTGCGCATAATCCCATTTCAAAATGATTCACACCCACCAATCACAGTTGAGAACATTACATGTCAGACCGTTGTCCATCCAAATTTAATGTGTCAACGGGAATTAATTTGGTATTTTAG